TGATAATGGAAAAATGTTATCAAGTATATATACTCCAACGGTTTATAATATACAACGGTAACAGTTTTCAGATATGTAAAGAAATTTCTGGGTATAACTTTGCATAATTATGTTGTCAGTTCTCAGAAGTGATTTATTGAAGTATGGAAATAGATTGCGGTCAATTAATTATTTTAGTCGCTCCAATGAATCGTTTTGGCGTAGGAAGAATATAATCGCTAAATCATGCCATAAATGACAGTTCGTTTTCGTAGGTAAAATCATAATATTATAAAACATTATCAAGTAATGAACCGAGAAAAATGATTTACTGGAAAAGTTTAAAAAATAATAGCGCTGTTTGTTATTATGCAACAACAAGGGACAAATTAAACGTTAATTTACCGCATCTGCTAATCAATTAACGCGCAAATTACATTTGGGATTAACTTAGCTGGGTAAAACTTGTAATACTATTATTTATGTTAATTGTTTTTACAATTTTCTCTTCGGGCTTAACCGGAATAATGCCATTTTCTGAGCAGTCTATATTTCGTTGACATATTTTGTACTTTTGAAAATAATCTGACGGCACTTTGTTTCCATTTTTTTTTTTTACTTCTACGCCGTTGCGATGATTGTAAGATAATACTATTATGCTTTTGTGTGTTGGAAAAGGCGTGACGTTTAAAATACGGTGTGGTTTTTTAAAAGCAAAACTCAAAAGTTATATTATTATTATCGTGACCAGACATCTTCACGCGGTCTATACGATATTATATGAGTCATTTGCACCATCCACCGAGATAACTGCAGCATGGTCTTTTATCATATCCAATAAAACTAGTTTAGGGAAATTGCCACGATAACACCATCCGTTCCGAGTAAATGTTTTATACCGACCAAAAGTTAAGTAATATTATCCCTTCTCGCCCTTGGCCGCAAACCCTTTTAGCTCTTTTACCGTCTCATTATCTAGTTTATCTTATCCCGGCGTTTTTGCCGAACGACCACTCCGACTTGTGCGGTCTATGCGGACTTTCCTCGAAGGACCACCGCCGACAGAGTTTCTATATAGCCCATAGCAGTTCTACAGCGGGATATGTAGAAACTTAGCGCCCCCCCCCCTTTCTTGCGGCGCTTTGTTTTTAGCACTCTCCGGTGCAGTAAGCGCCGGTCTTTTTATTGATTTCCTAACGGCGTCTGCAACAACGCGGCTGAAATCGACACGTTAGGAGGTTTTTTACGGCCATTTTCTGGGTGGATCGTCCACGGTTGGATCTATTATATGTTATCACAGGCTTCACAGTAAGTGTTAAAATTGTATTGATCATCATCGATGGTAACACATAGGCGAACAAAACCCGGCGGCGACCGAAGCGGAAACCGCAGGAACGGCAGCAGCTACCGCCAACGCTGTTCGGCTTGCACAAATATAATATAATAATAATATGTATATATTATTATATATACATATGTGATGGGATTTGCAAAATACAATACCTACCTATACGATAATCCTTTCTCTCTTTCGCCAGGAAGTCCGCCATAATGCGGGAATTATACGAGCCTACGAACGTCATCGCCCCCAGTCGTTTGTTGTACCTACAATAAATTATTGATCTGTATACCTAACCCAATAAGCACGTTCGGTTGATTCAACCAAATGCCGAATAACGTAAGGCGCACATTAAGGTGAAAAGCGATAAATGTCATTCAATTGAAATCAAATACAATATATAGATTTATTGTTTTTTAATTTTGAGTTTTACCAAAGGCATTTACTGACGTTTTGACTTTTTTAATCATCAGAAATACATTAGGTAAAAGTTTGGCAAACCTTTGTACAGTAAAATTTTTTTTAATTCATTTGTTTAAAGATTCGAATACAAAGTTCTTTGGCCTGACAATAGAAATCGTAATGTCGTTAATTCTGAAATATTCATAAAAACAAATTCAAATAAAATATTAAAAAATCACGTGATAAGATTAAAAACAAAAACACTTGGTGCCTTTGAAAAATATATAAACCAATTTGCAACACAAGGTTTATTAAAAACACTTTCTGAAAAAAAGCTATTTAAATATTGTATTTAAAGCTTAGCATTAACGCGGTTTTGTTTAACATTGTACTTGTATTAAATTATGCAAATACTACCACAAGAAAGAAACTTAGCGTTTACGGTGCATTTATAACTAAATGATTTATCGTTATTACACTGTGCACTATAACGTACACCTCTTGTGATGTAAAACTTATCATCTGCAAAGATAATAATTACACACTCTTCCATTATTTCGGTTCGTTAAATTTGCATGGTTCGTTGCGGGTTAATTTTAATAGCTTTAGCCATTTCTTCAAGATTGTCCTTCAGATGGTTAATCTTTAACGCAATTTATTACTCGGCAAATATTAAGTATAATATAACCGTTTTAATTTATAAATTAAGTATCCTTATGTACGCAACGATCCTTATATCGATCCTTATTCATTACTTTTATAGAACTTTTTCTGTGTATTATTCGTTCGTCTACGTTTTAATTATTTTAGTCTTCGCGTTTTTTTTGTTTTTTTGCATAATTTTATGTTTTATATTTTTTTCAAATTAGCTCTCGGTTTATTTGGATGTGCCCCGCGTGCAATGTTTAGTGTTTAGTCTTGAACACGACAAGACTTTGTGCTGATTTTTTAATTGAATGTGCAAAGTTATACTATGAGACGCGGTGAATGTCACGTGCTTGCGAATCTACCTCAACTTGGCACACGCAAGACTATTAGTCGACGGACTACTACTAATGGCGTGTATCAGACAATCTTGTCATTAGCGTTAACGAGTTTCCAGATACATTCGGGGGGGACGCTGCGCTGTAGTAAGAGGGTAAAACGAAAGCCTTTTAAATCACAGGGCATAAAGCTAATGCTAATAGAATGGGCCGGTATTGATTTCTGCGGAAACCGTACCCGGTGGGTGACACGTGTAAATATGTTTAGTCGGAAAACATAAAGTTGTTGTCGGAAAGGTATTTGCCGTTCAAAAATACTTAAACTAAATTATTAAAAAAATATATTACCTATATAAAATATTAAATAAATAACGATATCGGTTGGGTAAATCGAATACTTTGAGCAGTTGTAAAATTGTGTATAGTTATATAGAAAGCTACGGATCACTTTTGTGTAAGACTCTTCGTCGAAACAGTGAAATAATAAATAACAAAAGGGCTTTTATGCGAGTTTGAATAATGGTATTATATGAAACCGATAAATTTAAGCACGGCCGACGTTACTTGTATGCCGGTCGAGATTTATAAGTAGGCTTTTTTTCGTTTAAAGGATTTCAGTAAACTTCGAACGCATATAAATAGTGACCCGTTTTATAAAAAAAATCTATTCAATTACAAGTAAAAAATTTTCGAAAATTTGAACTTTGAAAATAATAATTATTTTACAAGTCATGACGCATCTTATATGATCTTCAAGTAGACTCCTGTCGTCTTTATTGCGATGCCAGAGTAACGTTTTTCTCGTTAAGCGATCGTTTTTGTATGTAAGTATATTAAGCACTGAAAAATGTGCGGAATTTATCTTTTCTTTTTTTTTTTTAGCTCCGATGCAGCTCCGAGGCGGTATTTCTCATTTGAAAGGGTGGAAATTACATTCTGAACACTCCTCCCGGCTGGTTTTATATACCTCCGACGATTTTGCTTATATTATTTCCCATTGGTATTATTAAAAAATGTTCAAATGCCAAGTTTGCCGACAGGGTCGAACCGGAATCGATGCAGTTACCTAGTACCTATAGGTTACGACTTCGGCCTTATACAGTGTCAGTGGTTATGGTTGAATAGGATGGAATTCTCTCCAATACTCTTCGATAACACTTTGTGTTTCCGGTATCGTCAAAAGCCATTATTTCTACTTCCGTTTCCACCACCGACAAATTCCATTAAGACCGTGACCCACAAAGGCTAGCGCACTCAACGAAAAACCATAATCTATTTAATAAAATCATCATATTATGACAGCCTATACAAAATTTGCGATAATACAAAGAAGAAAAATGTTTGTTCATTTTTTAAACCAACAAATGTGTTATACATTTGATGAAAACATTAAACACCTTAATAATATTTCCTAGACGATGAAATTACAAGATATGTATTTTTTGACAAACCGCTTAATAAAATATATTATAAGTGATTTTTATTGCGTTAAGTATTATGGCTATGACAGTTGTTGTATGACAATAATATCAATCAAGAATTTTGTTTTTCTAACAAAAATCCCTAACCGGGTTTTGGACTAATAGTGCGTTAATTATTATTGCTGTACAACAATTGTTTATTTTATCACTTTGCGTTAATGATTATTTTAATTAAGAGTTTGAAATTGTATTTTATGTTTCGTTTTAGTATTTATTTCACGCAGCTAATATTTGGATTTCATAGAAAATATTATGTAAATTGAGCGAAACTCTAAAATGAGTACAACAATATGTTTTGTAAGCTCTCTCTCGAGAGCAACTTTTACTTGTGTACATAATATAGAATACATTTCGAGAGTTAAAGGATACGCTAATAAACTATTCTGAAAATATATTTAAACGACTTGTATATAATATTATGGTCTCTGGCAAAACCCTTATATACTTTGAATGACCTCGTTTGACGCACACACGCTTAACATTTAAAATGCCAAATTCAGAAATGGGTATAAAGTCGGTGTACGAATATTATACAGCTTACAAAATAATATTTTCTCGAGACTAAAACGATAAACTCCATTTTCATACGCTTACAAAAATTACATTTATTAGTGTATATTGTAATATTATGTACTCTTTATGTTTTTATATTGCTGACGCATCATAATATTATAATATGAAAAATATACCATTTTATTGTTAGACGAATAAAATAATATAAAATAGTATACTAAAATAATTTTACGAGATATTCGTTGAACCGCTTAATGTCAGTTACACTGTAATCTTAAGACGTTTTTTTTTTAATGTTTACAGGGCTCCGGACCCGATGGACCATCTCCTGTGCATTTTGAACCACAAGTGGCTGTGTTGTGCGATTCGAAATCAGATACTTCGTACTACAGTCAATATATGTCGGAGAATGGGCGGTGGACATCCGATACAAAACGTAAAGTTGGATGCCTTAAGGAAAAAGTTGACATTTTGGATTATTGCAAAAAAGTAAGTAACATTAATAATGGTTGTATTATAATAGTAATTATGTGAAAAGTATTGGAATGATAACATAAAATAAAGTTAATAGTCTTATTTTTACGAAATTAGTTTTTTAAGTAAAACGATACAAACTGATTGACTCAATAGTCAAGGGTACATACTTTTTAAATTGGAAGTCTAAGTAGTAAACGATCGACTACTTTTTTTTTTTTAGGTTTACCCGAAGAACGATATCACCAATATAGTGGAATCAAGCCATTACGTGAAAATTGGAAACTGGTGTAAAATGGGATACAACAAATGCAAGCATACTGACTGGGTGAAACCATACAGATGTCTTGGTAAGCGTTCAGTGTTCACTCTATATAGAGTTTATTTATTGCTGACCCTTCGACTAGTGCGAGATTAAACTGCCCCCCATTTTGTTTGACCATCATTTTTCTTGTCTGCAAATCCCCCCTAATGCCGACACTTTCTACGCCATCACAAGACCGTCGGTGCACTTGTATTTTATACTTCTCTTTTCTTTTTTTTTTTTCTCTCGAGATTGATTAGATTTTGCGTCACTATATTTTCTTGTCTTGTCTGGAAGTTTCACCGTACAAACAGTATATATATATATACCTTGGTAAAATAATAATATAAATTCATTTGACACTTCCAAAAGAAATAAATGTATATATTTCTGAATTACTTTTGTTGTATTTTATGTGCTAATCGTATAAATTGCGGTGACTTCTAAACTCGGTTAATTTTTCCCCTCCAAAGACCCGCACCATAACTTTGGCAATTTAGCTATTCAAGCGCAACTGCTACTACATCCTGTGCTAAAAGCTGCGTCGTGTAACATTTCAGCAAACGACAGGTCCCGATCCACCCGATTGAGCATTTCAAATGCACAGTTTGTGCTTATAACGACAGTAAAATACATTAAGTACTTTTATGGCATTGAAAACGTCTACTATATTAACGTACGGCTAGAGATGACGTTCGCCAATAATGTCTGATTTATGAACTAAGCTTTCAACCTCCAGCCAAGTTAACTGCATACCATGTTTGATATATGTACGGAATAAATCTTCAGTTTAACGAACACACTCGGGTCGTAAGAATTGTTTTCTCTAGTACTGTTTCTTGTGCCTATAATAAAACGCCTTTATCGATTATATAATATTTTACCACTTGGCCATGACTTATAGGCGTTTGTGCCAAATCAGCTTGTTTTTTTTTAACACCCAATGAATATTTTATCTTTTACTTATTTAAAAAATATCGGTTGTGTACTGACGCGTAGTAGTTGTCAATTACTACTCGAAGTTGTCGAAAACATTTCCATAATAATGGAACAAACCGTTCCTCCTTCGTTATTTCCTTGGCTGTTTGTTTTTGGCTAGTACTCGATTAGTCAATATTTTCTCAGAATTTTGTCCCTTGACAGTAGAAATTATTTAATCGATACTCAACAACCTTGTACGGTTAACATTTTTTTGGACACGTTTTTCTAAAATAAATTAACTTATATAAGGACACTAGACATAAGTGTTACAAAACAAAGTACCATATAGGAAAAATGATGAAAAACAAATTCTCATATTGTATAGGTTATTGTTGTAGTAACAGACTTTCAACGTGAGATCCCTCTTAGCATTTATAATAATTTAAGACTAATTTATTTTGAAAGGGATTGCATACGGTCTGGTTTTTTGACGGTGTAGACCAAAAATCCAGACATTTCGACTACTTAAGATGGTCTGATTTAAATTCTGTAAAGATATACGAGTTCTTTGACAATTTTACTAGATCATGCGGGAAGCAGATTTTTGATTTTTTGCTTTTTTTTATGTAAAAAAATTGGGTGTTAATATTGAAATAAAATGCAAATTTAATTTATTTAATTACAAGAAACTGAAATTAAAAAAAAAAAATCAGCTACCTACATAACGTAGTACAGCCAAAGAACTCGAATCTCTTTACAGAATTTAAATTGGACCATCCTATGTAGTTGACATTTTGTGTGGCTTTTTGTTGTAAAATAAACGAAAATGGCTTTTATTCATAGAAAAAATAGTTTTAATTAAAAATAATACCTTGAAACTTATTCAAATTAACCGGTAAATTAATTGATATGGTCGAAATTTATTAAAAACCTCTTTTTTTTCTTAAATATTGCCTATACAAAACTCCTTAAAAACAGACCGCATGCAATCCCCTTTGCAATTACTTTTACTAACGTCCCCCTCGTATATATTTAATCCAGGTAGTAATTTTTACAACAATCACGGCCACGCTTTGTTTATATCCACAGAAGGACAATTCCAGAGCGATGCACTTTTAGTTCCCGAAAACTGCATATTTGATCATGTCCACAACCAGAGCAAGTGCTGGCCGTTTGACCGCTGGAACCAGACAGCTGCGCAAGCTTGTCAGGACCGCGATCACAACTTGAGGAGTTTCGCCATGTTGCTACCGTGCGGCATTTCTCTTTTCTCCGGTGTCGAGTTTGTCTGCTGTCCGTACAAAGGTAAGAATATACTCGCATTTGCTCTGCTATTCGTCGTGGTGTTAACGAATGTTCCTTCTTGCATTCCTCGCAGATAAAATCCAATTAAAGAAAACGGCACCGATTGCTGCCACGGACAGTCTGCTTTCGTCCGATCAATTCGACGTTGAAGAAGACATTGACGACGACGACGATGACGACGATGAAGATGACGACGACGTAAACGACGAAGACGACGACGATGACGACTACGACAACTATGACGACACACCGGCAGCTCGCACGTCTTCCACGACAACCACTACAACGACCACCACTACAACAGCGGCTCCGACTACGGTCAAAGCGACCACCACGACTACCCAAAGACCGCCGACCACCGAGGGTTCGCGCACCACACCGTCCGGACCTGTCAGGAACCTGCCGACCCCCGACACGTATTTCACACACTTCGATCCCAGGGACGAGCACAAGTCGTACAAAGAGGCTTTGAACCGGCTGGAGGAATTGCACCGAGAGAAGGTGACGAAAGTCATGAAAGACTGGTCGGATCTGGAAGAGCGTTACCAAGAGATGCGATCCAAGGACCCGCACATGGCCGAAGAGTTTAAACAGCGGATGACACTGCGATTCCAACAGACCGTCCAGTCTTTGGAAGAGGAAGGATCTGCCGAAAAGCATCAACTGTTCGCCATGCACCAGCAAAGAGTGAACGCGCACATTAACCAACGCAAGAAGGACGCCATGAACTGTTTCATACACGCCCTCAACGAAAACACCCCAAACGTAAGTGCTGCCTTTACTGAATACTTGAATGTCGTTTATTTAACGAACCTGTTTTCGTTGTTTTTTTTTTAGACGCATAAGGTGCAAAAATGTCTTCAAAAGCTTTTGAGATCACTGCACAAGGATCGCCATCACACCATAGCGCATTACCGTCACTTGTTGGCGTCCAGCGTCGAACTGGCCGAACGTGAAAGATCCGTGACTTTGGAACATTTGGTCGATATCGATCACATGATTAACCAATCACTGCAGATGCTCGATAGGTATAGTTTTACAGCTTTTTGGAAATGTTGTCGACAATCATTATCGTGCAAATCGAATGTTGTTGTTATTATTATCGTTTTCAGATACCCGTCGTTGTCGCGCAAAATATCTCAACTGATGGCCGACTATATCCAAGCTCTCAGAAGTAAAGACGATACACCCGGATCGTTGTTGGCGATGACAAGAGAAGCCGAAGCGAGCATACTAGACAAATATAAGGCCGAAATAACTTCATCTCAGAGCGGTATGTTTTTTTTTTTATGTATCCGTTTAAAACACCGTGAACCAAAAATATAATTCATAACGTCACTTGGCCACATTTTAGACAAAGAACACGAACTGTACCCAGTCGAGAAGGAACGCAAAGAACTCAAGCACGAACAGGTCGAGTCTAAAGAAGCAAAGCTCCAGGTGGAGACGGCAGCCGAGTTCGACGCCAACGACAACACCGCACCGCAACGCCCGATTACACCGACCCCATTGCCCACAACAGCAGCCAAGACCGAACAAATACCCGCCGTACAGCACCACGACCATGACTCTGAGCCGAAGATCTCTCATTCTCAAATCCACGACATGAGTCTCGGAGAAGTGGTAATTTAACAATTTTATTTTTCTAAAGCCGATTATGGATAACAATGTGATTTAACACAATGGTGGTTTGTTCATTTCAATACTAAACAATGTTATTAAAACTTTCAGTCGTTCTCAATCCGACGAGAAGGGTTCCACCAAGAATCCCGAAGCGTCTACTTGACGTTGGCGTTCGCAGGACTTTCACTGATGGCCGCAGTTTTTGTCGGAGTAGCTGTGATTCGCAGACGAAACGCTAGGTTACCACAAAATCAAGTAGGTTCTTAATTATTGTTACACGATTTGTACTACTTAAGCCGGCTGAATTGCGGGGTTCCACTGGGATTTAATGGGTTAACTAAAAAAATAACCCACTAAGCAAAAAAATTAGCACAATATATTTTTAGACTTTTAGCAACATTTAAAATACGTGTGATTGTTTTTACTTTTAAATAGATTATATTTTTTTTGTACATTAAACAAAGTATATTATAAGGTCGTTGTCGTAATCAATTAACTTATATTGGATTACACACCGTAATCAATAATAAATAAATATCAAAAAATGCCTTATCCGGTGAATAAAAGATAATTTAAAGGCCGACCGTGTTGGGTTTTTCGAACCCTGTACAGTTGTTGTGTTAACCATTCAATACGGTACTTTTTTCAGGGCTTTATTGAAGTAGATCAAGGAACATCGCAAGAAGAACGTCACGTAGCCAACATGCAGATTAACGGATACGAAAATCCCACTTACAAATATTTTGAAGTCAAAGAACAACAATAAGTGAGTGTGCACAACTTGCTGTCTCCAAGACGTCACTGAGAAATCATTATAATTATATGTACTCTTTTGTCTTGTTTCAGAAAACCGATAACCCATATAGCGAGATACGTACTTAAGAAAGCGATTTTAATCAGCCAGCAATGTTTTTAACAATATATAATTATACATAATAACATTATAAAAATATACAAAAAAAAACCGAACGTGCATGATACAAATAGGTAAAAGATATTATTTAGATCTGATTAATTAAATAATAGTTTAATATAATAAAGCGTGTCCTGTAGTTTAAAATCTCATTTATAGGAAAATATTATATTATTATCGTCATCACGAATGCATCTGTTAAAAACACATATCCTTAAATCATTCCAGAATTTTTAACCTAACCTACTCGTCATTCTAGTCAAACATGTTTTTTTTTTAATAATAATTATAATTATACTTTTATGTTTTGGTTAGTATCGTGTTTGACATTCACAGTACCGACAGAACTTGAAAACCACCTAAAAAAACGTGTACATTGTAATTTATCTTCGACCTTTGTCTAGTGCTTTTTATTATTATTTTTTAATCGTAGAGCAACATCAGCCTTATTAATAGTTAGACGTTATATTAGTTAGATACTTGAATTATAACAACTGTTTAATAATATTTGATTCTACAAGTTTAACAAAAACGATTACTAAGTACATATTATACTATATTTGAAAAAAAAACAACAGTTCCAAAAGACATCATCCAAGAATAACCAAAGAATGTAGGTAATACAAATATGCTCTTGTCGAGGAATACTTATACTATCGTTCATTTGATTTTTCAAGCAAAATTATTGTAACAATGACAATAAAAACAAAAAAACAATAGAATACAGACATTTACACTCAAAAGAAAACTCACATAGGCACTCGCACTTACAAGGATAAGTAATCGAAAAATTATCATTTTAATTGCAATTATAATCTACCTACTTGTAATGTGTTGTACGTCTCGCTTGTTATTATATTTTTAGTTTTTAAACATTTTGTTTTGTACTCTTATTAATTTTTGTTCAAAAAAAAAAAACAAAAAAAAAATGTTAATAGACACTATACACCTATTAGAACAATTAAGATTTCTCCTGTACCTATGTATTATTATTATAATTATTATTATTTTTCATCATCACTCTATAAAATATACCTAGTGAAATATTATTATAATAGGTAGGTATACATATTATATTATTTAAGCATTTAGAAGGTATACTATTATAATAAAATAATATATAATTATAATTTATATATATATTTTTTTTTTGTTAAGTTAAGAGTAAAACAGAACAAAAATTTGTTTTTTGAACCTGATAATATTATAACTTATAATAATAACAATAAGTGTTTTCCAAAATGTTATCATTACCTATCTAAAAATGTATGTAAAACTAATTTATTACTAATAATAAAATTGTATACATTAAAAATAAATTGGTTAACTATTATTTTATATCGTTTCAATTTATTGACACGCATTGACTGTTTATATAATATCAGTTCCGTGTCTTAAAAATCTATTTTATTTTTCAATTATATGTTTGACCGTTCATCGTGTACTAATTATAGTATTTTCCTGTTATAATAAACTAGGTATATAAACTATAATATAAAGAATATACAGTTTAAACAGGTACCTTAATCGTTAACATTAAGTGGAAAGTACATGCACTACCGGCTGGTTGTATAATTGCCAATTTATTTAAAAATTGGAAACACTTGAAATAGTTGAAAAAAACCATGTAGTTTTTTACAATGTTTTTTCAACGACACTGGCAAATCTATAAACGAACATTATCAATATAATAGCTAAGTACTGAGTTTGGGTTATTTTTTAATTATTATCAAATGGTACATACATCACGAATGAGGATAATATTATGATCACAAAATAACAAAAATAACGGCAATTAATCCTAAACAAAAAATATTTGTTTGAAACGATAATTTATTCTTTGTCGAAACGATTTTATAATTTAAATGTTCTGAATAATATCAAAAGAAGAAAAAACAAAATCGGTGATCTATAATTATTTTTAGCTCTTTTCCTGTCTACCTTCTGCCTTTATGTAAATTAGGGCTGCTCTCAATGTCTCACTTTCTTTAAGTCAGACACAACTGTTTGATAATATAATTTTAAGTCGTTAGTTCAACGTCTATCAACGTTTTATAGGTATTAACAAAAAAAAAAAATAGATGTAAGTTTTTCAAAAGCCATAATAATATTACATATAGATTTTTGTTCAATAATTATATTACCTACCCATTTATAATAGAAAATAATAATAGCACACAATTTTGGTCTAGACCGAACTTGTTAGTATATTAACATACTGACCGTCTTAAAGTAAACTATTAAAAAAAAAAATGACATTTACCTGAACAGGAAAATAGTACAACATATTGAAATACAATATTGTTGTATTTAAAACGCAGTGCAAATTGGACCAGGGTTCTGAAATTTAAACCTACAAAATCAACAAGTTTCTGTATAGCAACTCTTATATGGGACGGATAAAATATATGCACAAAGGGAAAATAAGTTAATGACTTCATATTTGTGTTAAAAACAGAAACTTATGCAAGTCGGCTGAATGTTATAATTTATAACAATGTTTGGTTTTGATTCAACTCAAAATATGCCGTTTGTCGTATAATAAAGTTGCCATATTTTCTAAAATCATTCATATACAGTTATAATACATTACATACATAGTTACTTATGATGTATAAGGGTATATTTTTAATTTAAAAAAAAATTTTCATTAGCGATTTTCGAAAGAAAAAATCAGATTGTTCTCGAGCCAGTAATTTGGACAATTGAAAGTTTGCTTTGTAATAAGTTTTAACTACTACTATTCATGGGATAATCGAGACATCTGTTTTTTGTGCAAAGTGTAAAGTAAGTTCGAACTTGGACTAGGCAAAACTGGTTATCGACCAGTCAACATTTTTAGTACATTATTCTCTATTTAAAAAAGTTAATGAAACGTATGCGTTTCCGTTTGTTGATATAAAAAATAATTAGTTTGGTAAGGTGGTAGGAACATACAAATTTGTGGAGATCACGTCATTGTTATATCAACACTATTAAAAAAAAAAGTCAAATATTAATTAAACCCACTGACAAATGGAATGGCTCACGATAAAAAAAAACCACCCTGTATATTTTGTAAAAACGTATCATCAAAATGATAGATATTATTGAGATAAAAAAACAAAAAAGGCGTTTTATCGATAGGACAAAAGGGTTGACCGAAAAACATGGAATAGATGGCGTTCCGTGTTTGGCATGAATAAGCGTCAAGCACCTACAACAAACTTAACGTCAAGCACGTACGTCGTACACAAGTCACAACCGCCGCCGCGTGATGTAATAGGCAAGGCCTTTGTTTGACGAATTCAGAGCGGCGGCGGCCATTGAACGAGCACGGCCGCGGTTGAACGACGACGGCGATAACGACGTAGCGTGCAACGGACGTTTATGCTATTGCGCCGGCCGTTGCGATGGCGGCGGCGGCGGCGGCGGGTGGGTCGGTGGGCGGATAATACCGTTGGCGTTCTGCGGTGCGTCCCGACACCCGGGGGTTGGCCGCACTGTTGAGCATTTGTAATGAATTCCTCCCGACAAGACCCGCCGTCGAACGACACTAAAGGGAAGAAACGAGAAGGGGTCATTAAAAAAAAAAAAACCTATTAACAGGGAAAATATTATTATTCGTTTGAGAAAATAACATTGTAACACCATTGCTATCGAAATAATAAATATAATATTATTATTATTATCACGGTCGTATACATTACAATATAAACGAATTGTTATTGAAACCGTCGTGGGTTCCGTTGTTTGATCTTTTGTGTCGTTTCTCGTTGCTGTTGACGCCGCCGTCGTCAGTGCAACTTACAAAATCAGACAGTCGCCGGCCAGACGACGTACCCCCTCCCGACTTTTGGAGAACTGGACGCCGGGCTGTTCTCACTTGGATCTCAAAAAACTCGGACCACAAACTAGTAAGTCTCAACACCCTAATATCCTTGTCCGAGTATCGGTTACTCAGAATGTTACGGATCCTATCGGAAACTCATCGATAGTGTATCGGTAACTGTTCACAACCCTCAACGTGTAAGTGTCGTTTGTCCTCCTAGTTTCAATAAAAATCTAAATTGGCGAGTTGTCCGTTTTTCAAACCCAATTTCGATCGACTTGATAAAATGTTCACCAACTGTATTTGCAACCTAGTTTTTCTGTCATTTAAGTCACTCGATTAACTTTTGGGAGGTTACGATGCGAGAACCCTGGTAAATGCAACTTCCCGGTGCCTCTAGTTCTTTATGTTTAAGAGTTCATTAAAATATGTTGGGTATTGTCCAATTTTTCCTGTACACATTTTTTCCATATTTTTTTAAATTTAAATAGTTATTGAAAAAATCATTTTTGTTTCATAATAATGTTATTCATTATAGAATTTTATAAATCATAATACACCTTATCAATGTCTGACCATTTTTTTGTCTTAATAATTATTTTTGTAATAAATTTGGGCCTGTATATTACGTAATATATAATATATGAATGTATAAATACACTTATGAAAAAAGCAAATCAAGTTTCCTAAAAAATTTCTAAAAAAGGTGTGTACATGCTGATAGTTTGCTGTATTACAATATATGGTGTCATATTTTATAAGTACTTAAAATACTTATCCAGTAGCTGCCATACTTAGGTATATTGAATTTTAGTCAAATTGGCCTTGCAAAACACATTTAATACAATTTAACTTTTATGTTTTCTTAGTTTTATCATATAAATTTAAACATACTTTATCGTTAGTTATCATGGTAAGAATATCAAGCTAATAGAGAGTTCCCTTTTAGCTGCACCTTTTACAGTTATTTTATTGATTAACTAAACTAGTTTGGCGTATAAAACTGGTACAACTCGCCGTACACCAAAATAATATCTATAAAAATACCTTGTACATGTAGTTATGTTGCTCATACAAATGGAGTATTTATATATTTAAACATTATATGTGGCTCATATTTTACCGTATTACTGAATAAATAATAATAAACAAAATTTATAAAAATTATATAATAAGTGGATACATAATTATGTAACTGTAATCAAATAAATAAGTAACTATAACTTATTATTATACTGGTTTTTAGGTCTTAAGTCAACACAATATTCAATTGTGCAACGGCAATCTTATAGTGCAAATTTGAGGTCTTTAGACTTCATAATTCTTCCGTAATGGAATGGAAGAATAATGTGTCAGACGGGTAATTATTTACAACATATTGTATGTAGGTCATTGAGTTGTATTTAATATTGATTGTTGTGTTTGCAGAAAAATTAATAAAGCCAATGGGAGTCAGAACAGAAGAACTTCTGGTGGTAACAAAAAAGCAAACGACACTGTAGAGTATTTTGGGTACGTAATATTAAAAATATTAATAATGTTAGTATTTTGAATCATTTAATTTATAACTGAAATTTAATTTACAGAACCTCTCAGAAAACGAAATCCAAGCGAAAGCCAAAGAAAGAGGGCAAAATGATCAATATCGAAGAGTTTGTTTGCACCTACGGCTCGGGCAATAGCGTTGCTAATTCGGAGCCGATTAAAGCTGCTGCAACATTTCGTATGTTACAATCGTATTTTCAATCTTACATGTATATTTTTTACCAAACAGCCTACAGATTTCAACATATTTATATTTTAAATTTATTTTAGCCGTTACAACTAACGCTTGGGCGCGTAAAAAAGGATCTGAGTTGTTTGCCAAAGCTAAGGACGACAACGAAGAAGAGAAAATGTTAAAAATGGCAATTGCTGAGAGCATTAAAAGTGCCGAGGAACATTCTCGTATCAAAGACTCCTCTACGTGGTTAGTATTTGTTTTACAGATGTACACCTTAGTTCTGCAGATATTATAACTAATTAAAACACAATCGCTAACATTTGGGTTTATATGCAATTGTTAATCTCCGAATTATATTTAATGTAATTGGAGAAATTAAATAAAATCATGAACATATTAACTTATTGGCATTAATGAATTAATAGTTGCATGTAAATGTGGTAAATATTTATTTTTTTCTAATGAGTATATACAAAACTATCATCGTATGTAATTAATTTAATATTTTTTTTTTTAGGAAAAATGACCAAGATGTCGCTATTGGATCGGACGATTTGGTGTTCCAGAAGAAACATAATTCCCAAAATAAGAAGAATTCCAGAGGACCTAAAGAAAATAGGTCCATAAACTGCTGGAATAATAGTTCATTTGGTAAAGAAACGGATGATTATGGTTTTGCTTCAGAACATGCTAAGACAAATAAAACTCCCAAAGTCGGAACACTCTGGGAAGATGAGTCTAAAACTAACAGATCTAAAGAGCGCAAGGACTCTAAAAATAAGTCTAAACATGTCCTAAAAGACAAACCTAAGGAGATTAAATCTTCGCCTACTGATAGTCCATTAAAACCTGAGAAAAAGCTCAGACAACGAGGTGATTGGAAAGAAACTTTTATCAAAGACAATTACCAGCCAGAGAGGAATGTTAGATCAAATGACATCGATGATCAAAGACCTCAACCTCAAGCCCATGACTGGAGTGTTCTCACATCGGGTTGGAACAAACCGGAGGAGAAAAAAGAAGAAAAGAAGCCGTCTAACATGTGGAATGGCGACATGGGTTTGAATGTGACCAAAAATAAGTGGGAATCGTCCAATTGGTCATCTGAACCGGCCAAAACTGAATCCGTAGACATTTGGAGTAGCGATCGGCCCAAAAGCAATGCGGTGGTTTGGAATGACTCGATCGAGACCAAAAAAGATGTTATCGATGAAAAACTCGTTCATCCTGAACGGACTGAAATTAAGTCTTCCGTGTTTGGCTTGGCCGATTCTTGGGCGCCAATTACCACCCAGATAAAAGAACCAACCAAGCCAACGGTCGAAAGTCCTAAATTTGTTGATAAAAAACCACTGCCGGCTCCTGATTTTAACAGGTACTTGCTGGAGGCGCTTAGTCAGAGTACTTCTTACGCGGTACCGCCACACACAGAACCACAAATATCTCAACCCAACACGGACAACTTGTACACTAACTTGGAGTCTGTATTGCCGAAAACGTCCAGTTCGGTGTTAGAAACAAACAACTCGCCCGAGTTCCTGTCCAACTTACATTTTCTGGCTAATATGACCCAAATATGCGATAGGTTGGGTCTTAATAATAAACAACTACTTTCGGACTTGCCAGTTGGTGCAACCAATAGTAACGTTGAATCGGATCTGCTTCAACAACCGCCTACGTTGAATCAGATACAACAAAATCTAAACTGGAACCAAAAGACCAATCATAAGGTTTACCCGCCGTTCCAGCCTGTGTTGCAACAACAGTCTGATTTCATGATGCCTAATCAGTTGTTGCAGACGCAACAGCCGCAGCAACAACCGCATCAGCAACAGCAACAACAGCAGCAGCAGCATCATCATCAGCAGCAGCACCAGCACCACCATCCGCATCAGCAGCAACAGCAACAACAACAACAGCAGCAGCAACAACAACCACCACCCCCACCATTCATGCCTACCAATTCAAACAACTTTAACCCTCCCAGCAACAATGCTTTCCCGGCATTAAATTTAGATTTAAACCCCCCATTCAATAATCTCATCTATCCTAACCCGCTGGTGCCTCCGCCCAATGGTCTGTTTCCGTATCAACACCAGACGAACATCGAAAGGTTAGCCAATCTGTCTTTAACACAGGACAAGGTGAACTATCCCATGTATAATATGGTTCAGGACAAACAGACACGTCCGAATGACGCATATACCAATGTCCGAGAACCGTTGAAACAGTCCAAACCAATACAACAAAATATGTTTGTACCCAACGCGTTGCCCAATTCGTACAATTTTGAGCCCACGCCGCCGTTGTTTCCTGCCAACTTGTTCTATGCACAGATGCCTCAGGACGTTAACTATATGCAGCCAAACCAGCAGCAATTCCATAATTTCAAGGACCAAAATGTGCCGCACATGTTTGGAAACCAGAAACTTGAGCATCAAGTGCTCAGGGACAAAATGTTGAACGTGGGCAATCCGTATTTAAAAGATTAATATGTAGTCTTATCACATAACGTAATAATACGTCGTCTAGTCAATGGAAATACTTAGGTTTCGATACCTCGGTAGCATTGAACCCCATGTATTGTGTAAGGTACAGTGTTTAATTTTCGCTTTATTTTTTTTCCCACCAATTTCTCCTAGAGTGTGTGTTTTTTTTCGGCAATAAATACTTTGGACCCATTAATTGCATCGGTATTCGTATCGATTATTTCTTGGGGAAAACGAATAAATTGTGTATATTTTTATTATATATTTTCTTTCCTTCCTCTTTTGTAATTCAATTATTAACTACTACTAAACACGTAAAATTACATATAAATATATAATTATCGTCGTAATATACTATGTTATGTTTCTCATTTTTAGTAACGTTACACCCAAAACCCAAAACGTCACTTCTATTTAGATGTCGGAAATACTTTTGGTCAGCGGTGCAATCATAGTGTTATAAAGATTGAAATATTTGTGTTTTTTTTTTGTTGGGGAGTGCTGATAGCTTTTTTTAATGTCCCTATGGCCCTTTAAAATCAATTTCGGTTGCATCACTGATTATAAATATTTCGTAATTCTTTAAACGCTATTGTATTTAAATGGTTGGTTGTGACCTGCGATTGGTTTGTTCAAGAACTTTTAAATTAATCAATACTTTTGCTGAACCACTTTGAGAAATGTCAGCATTTCCGACATAGGTAACAAATGCGGCTCGAGTATTATGAAAAATTCGGACACTGACACCGTAACACGTTTACGAAAACAGCTGATACTATTGATTTGCCTTTTTTTGTGGCACACACTTTTGGTTTTTAAGTGTAGCGGCAAAACTGTTTCATTGTTTGGTGGTTGAACGTTACGAACGGCCGAGATTGATACAGGGTACTCTATAAGGTTAAGCCAATTGAGTTTTCCTTCTTAGTTTATTACCAGTACTCGTTTGTCTGGTTTGTGACCAAGTTATGCGACAGCGGACAGATAAAACATAATCGGCTAATAAAAATAAAAATAGTAATAATTCGTAATTGCTGATTATTTAGACGAGGACAAAAGAGTCTTGTGTGACTAAAGAATAAAAAATATTTGCTAAATTTTACAGCAAACAAAAGTTATACTTCAAAAGAGTGTTTTCAATTGTTGTTTACATTTTGTTTATTTATTACATCTGTAAACAAATAAAAGTAATAACAATTGCACAAGAAATAATTTTGTTGAATAACTATTTTCGATGAAGAAATAATGTAATCTCTCCTAAAATATTTTAAAAACCATCTTGCTAAAAAAGAAGTTGCTCAATTATTTTTTCATTTAATGACGGACACTCGCCATTTTCGACAATTGTTTTAATATGTATGTATAAATAAATAATAATTATGTGTATTGTGTAACAATAGGTATAAGTACAAAGAGTATGTAAGTATACTAAGTAAGAGTATATAGGTATTAACTATTATGGATATCGCTTTGAAGAAAATCACGTTTTATTTTTTTGTTCAGTGTGAGATTTGCATTTTGATGTTAAATCAAAAAATTGACAAAAAAAACATTTGTTTTTTTTTTTAAATTAAAATTTAATACATTTATGATAAAATTGTTATTATTGAAAATTGAATTTTGTAGAATAATTCTTTAAATTTTTCATAATTTCTAAATTTAAATGCTTGGACAAATAATTAATTGTCCCGAGTTTTGTCATTTAACCGCGAAAATCACATACAAATGATATTTTGAGAACCCCTGTGTCTTGTTGTTATCAGTCTTATCACTAAATGTTGAAAGCTAACGGAAATCTCGTGTTTTCGACTTCGCTGTAAAGTATAAACAAAAAAACATTATATTATAATTATATTTCCCATGTCAGTTGTCTGTCAGACTTCTTTGCATTTACCAAAATAACATAGTCAAAGATATTTTTAAACTTAGGGTAAATCGTTATCTATTAATCTTGACGTTAAAATATTCGTTACCATGAATAGAAGATCAAGTTTAAATTCGACCTCCGACGATACCATGTCTTGCGAAGAGGAGTTTAAAGCTTTCAAAAACCAATTGAAGTCCGTCCAAAACACGGTGGAAAAGCTAAATGGCAAAAGTTGGTTTTAAACATACATATTATGTTCTCTTGGCGTCATTACGATACCCAATATCAAATTTTAACAATATACCTAGACAAAACTACATCACAATGTAATATTATTGGTTTTTAATCCAAACGTTGTTTTACCAAACAATATACTGGCAATAGCAATTATACCAACATTTTTAAATTAATATTAATTTCATAAATACCAAACTATGTTGATGTAATTTGTCAAAAATAATTAACATACAAATTTGTGGCCACAAATTGCATACAAATATTGTGTGTTCTGTACATTTTACTGATATATTTTGTTTTACAGTTGTGGATAAGACTTTGTGCATGGCTGATTTAACGTACATGGACAACGAAATGAAATTAATGAATGAACTTGAACAAAAAATCACATCTGAAAAAATGAGTAAGTACCTTGTAAAACATATTTTAATTAAATTATTCTAGTTGTTTTCAATTGTAATAGTTGTATTAATTATCTAGAATCATGTTACGTGTCATATAAGTCTGTATCGTTAAGAATGACGCAGGAATCATATCGCATTTGCAGTTGGTTATTGGAAAAAGAAACCAGTGAAATGGACAACAAGTTTGACATAGATACTTTTATAGACAAAATTGTGAGTATCATATTTTATATTGATTTAACTGTAAAGGTACTTTAAAACTCTTTTATATTAAAAATGAATACTGTTTTAAAGTCTTACAGTTTCGATGCAAATCTGAGAACGTATTAACCTTTTTATTTTTTTGTGTAATTGCAAAATAGATTGAATCATGTGCCGGTAAAGAAAATCCTTTATTGCATGTTGACTATTTATTCAGAGACGTTGTGAAGAATACAAGATATTTTGACTTGTCTGTATACGGGAACATTAAAGCTGATGAAAACGAGACTCGACCGATAACGCTGACCCAAGCGAAAAAAGATATTAGAAGATCTCAAAAACGTCAATTAGAAGCCCAAGTTACTCCTGATGAAGTAAATGAGACTATATTCTTTTATAAGTCTTATCCATATACACTGCATTACTAAATACCCGTTGTAAACAATTATTGGTACAGCACGTGTATAGAAATTATGTTTTGTTTTAAGGTAGCCAACGAAACTGGTGACAATGCGCTGCAGCAAACACTTGTAAGAGTGATGCAATGTCTTAAAGTAGCCGTTGCCAATAACGGAGGCAAACCCGTGCTGTTCTATATGTTTGCTATCGATCCAGTCAGTCTGACATACACTGTGGAAAATCTATTTCACTTGGCTTCTTTAGTTAAAGATCGTCTTGTGATAATAGAAAGAAATGATAGTAAGTGTCTTAATCTCCCATATTAAACATATATGTAATATATTTTTAATTAATATTATCTGCCCTTGGGCAGTTAAAGTGATTGTTCTTTATTGGTTGATGGATTATTGGCCTAAATTAATAATTGTATTATGATTTTGCGAAGCAGGCACTGATGAGTTTACAACCATAACATTTATGAAAAAAAAGAAAAGTGAAAATAACGATAACACAGAAAATAAGGACGACATAATATCAACATTGTTCACCATAAATTATGACTTGTGGAAGGTAAATGTATAACTGTAATATATTGTATAATTTTTTTAATACAGTTAATATTGAATGAATATTATTTACAAAATTAATTAACATTTCGATTCAAAACATATATTTTTTTTCATTATAAAACAATAATTTTTCAGACTTACATAAAGAAGTACAATATAACAGAGCGGATGATAACTCAAGATAATTAGCAAATGATTTATTTTAAAACCTATTTGCAAAAACGAAAATTAAGAAAAAAGAAATCTCATTTTTACCACCCTAATTACTATTTACCAGAATTTGTATTTATAAGGATTGCCCTGTGTGATGTTAAGTCGCCTTGTATTGTTATATTATTATGAGTTGTTTAAAATGTTAATACTCGTTTGAGTACAGATAATACCATTTATACACAATTATTTTGCATTTTGTATGTTATGATTTATGTGTACATGTTAATTTGTTGCATTTGTATTTATTTTTTTTATTAAATACAATTCGTTTTAAGAAATATTAAATAAATATTTTATTTAATTAAAGAGTCAGGCGCAGTGTCGAACTATTGTCACAAGACTTGCTCAAAATCAAAATATTCTAGTTTTTTTTTTGTCGTTTTAATAAATTTATATTATTTAATGACTATCAAAACATGCAAAAAAAAAATACCAACAGGGTCAATAGGTTTAAGTCTACGAGTAAGTAGACCGATAACAGCAAAAATAGTCCCAACTTCTACAATTTTTTAGCTAATGGGCCGAAACGTTTTACACATGTCGAGTTTAGCCAACCACATAAAGTGTGTAAATTGCGGACGTCTAGGTTTAATAGATAATGAAAAAAATAAAAACGCATTGTAAAAATAATTCCTTCACAGGCCCTCGTCAAAGCTTATTAACAGTGGTTCTATACTTTGGTAAGATGACTGCAAAACGTTGAACACCGAAACGTCTTAGTTATTCAATCATAATTTACGGTTCGTGCCGTTCTGTAAGTAAGTATAAGAAGCTGCTTATATTTTATAATCACACTAACGCATCAGGTCATTAAAAAAAAAAAAAGTAATAGCAGTTTGTTTTCATTATAGCTTACTACATTTTTGGCACGGTGTCTACACAAATGAAAGCTTTTACCTTCAGTGGCGACGGCTAAAAAAACACATTCTGATGAAAACTAAAATATCCCTCGAGAATAATAATAATTATTATTATTGTTATTTATATCACTGCAACGTCTAAATGATTGATGGGTTTATGTCAAATAACAATATACAGTTGGACATAATAAAAAACCGAATAATTTCATTAAAATACCATTTTGCGTAGCTGTTATATTGCAGGTAAGCTCATACACATAAAAATTACATAACATATCTACTTAATCGTTGGGCATCAATTAAATCAATGATTGTAGACACGTCTAATTTATTATACTAATAATAATATGTATTTTTTATTAATAAAGACTACAAAAAAAAAAAAAATAATAATAATATGTTCAATGCGAGTTTTTATATATAAAAGAAAAAATCCAGTACAGATTTACAAGATAAATATTGGACGATGGTAATTTTTCCCAAAAGCACTTCTAGACTGATCTCGACAGATCATTGCCGAAAAGCACGTGCACGAATTTTATTGCAAACGCAGTCCCTACTTATGTGATGGCTTTTTGTCATCCTGCTTTTATACATTAACTCTCCCGCGTGATCGGCTTAGTCACCCTTTCTCATTTGTCATTTGGTTGACCTCTTAGAGGATCCATACATTCATTCGGTCTATAAGCTGACGGATTTGGCCAAAAGTAGGCTTAACATGAAAGACCCAAAGTACCTATTCCTCCTTCCTACTAAAACGAAACCAATAAACTTAATTTGTTCTATGTTTGTTGTACATTATTCGTACCTAGTTATATATATTCGTGTCAGGCTATATTTGTCATTGTCCAACTGCGAGTGGATTCAAATGTTAATTAAATAACTATTAATTACTCATAGCGTGAGGCTCGCATACTATGAGAAGAATATTTATTCTGAATTTAATATATTTAATGATGTATAATATGAAAGTGCCGTGTAATGGTTCAAATTGAGGTTGTAATTTGTTAATTGCTATTAGATTGTAAACTAATATTATTAGATCCTGAATGAATTGTATTTAAGTTCAAACGGGGGCGGATACTGTGAGCTCTTAATTGACCAGGTAAACTTGAGCAGTTCCGGTCTTTAATTACTTAGGACTGAGTAAACTCTGGTCCGTCGGTGGGTTAACCCACAGGATTATTTATTTGGGCAGCCTTTTCGGTTTTCCATAAAAGTCAGTTGTGTCAGTTATTTTGTTCAACTTGTTCACAACGCATTTAACGCATAATTAAAAAAAAACAATTGAAAATAGTGGACTTTAAAATTGACACTCCAATGACTGATTACATTATAAACATGACTATACATCTGAATGCAGCTAACAAATTGTAGAAAAACCATTTATCGATCAAAATATATCATAAACCCTTTCCTTCCACTGTACCATCATTGTGAAATGATTACCTACAGCTACCTTACTCGTTTTTTTTACACAAGTTTAATATGTTAGTTCAGTAAAATTACAATACATTTAAAAATACTATACGAATAAACATTATTCGGCGCCACTCGTTTTAAGTACTTAATCTTTTAACTTGCCATGCTAAAAACTCATAAAATACTAGCAAATAGCAATCGAGGCTGAGAACAATCATATTATTAAGTAAGTACTTACTAAGTCTTTTTGTGTACCTATTAGCAGGCTATCATCGACTAGGTTTACCTACTACAAAGACTAGACACAGATAAAATATCTTCAGTGCTATCTAATAATATAGGAAATAAATTTAGATCTAGGTTTAGTTTTTGCCTTTAATTAAAGCCTGAAACCAGATATACTTAACAGTGTGAATTGTTTAATTTGCATTTTTTTTTATGTATTTTCGATAAACATTATTTACGTTATTCGCTTTTTTGGTTAAGTTGGTTACCTAAAAGTATTTGAAATGTATTTTTTTTCTACTTATATAAAACATCACGTTAATCAAACTCAGTCGTATATAAATAGAGACAGAATTAAAGACTTGATCCAAAATTTTCATGCAAACCATTTTCAATAAAGCTGTTAGAAAACTTAGTTGTAATAAATAGTAAAAGTTTTATCACTGTATATTATGTTTTTGGGCATTCGTGTCCGTTTTGTAAATAAATCAAAAACATGATTTAATCGAAAATTGCCCTTAATGGGATAATTTTTTAAGTTTAACAAAAAAGTAAAAACACTGGACTATCACGAATACAAGGATAGTCAGGCAGAAAAGAAAGAGACAGGAGTTGACACATACGCAGACAATATTATTTATTTTACACAGTACAAAATACATATATTTTTATGGAATTTTATAATAATTAATAGTAAATAATTTAAACATTACATAATCAATTGCTGCTGGGAACCGTGGCTAAAATTTCACCAGCTGCCTGGAAACTCCTAAACCAGATCCAGAGGAAGCTTGCATTATCCAGATATCCAGTGCTTACTGCACAACCTCAATTGACGCCGATCAGATGATGATATTTTGCAAGCTGCCACATGTGCATTGCTTCTGGGCATTCTTCCACTGACGGCTTGCAAAATCTAATTCCATCACCTATTTCAGAAGTTCGAAATTAATATTGAATTGGATTTCAAAGCCATATATAGTAATTATTATAACGTCTAAGGTATATAATATAGCAATATTATTTTATATGATTAGCAAAAATAATTTTAAAAAACCTTAGTAACCGTCGATAAGCTCATAAGGTGTAAGACGGAAATAGAAATTCGAATTAACAATTCTATTTTGTGTATTTTAGATAAATTTAAAAACCATTAAAAACTTTTTCTGAATGAATGATAGTACGTTTTAAAGATTAGCTTCTTAGCTAGTTTAAAAAATAAATAAATAAACAAACATATTTTATTAACAACAAAAAAAACTTTTTATACTTGACTAAGTCAAGTCTTGCCGGTGAGATAAATTGTTACATGCTGGAGGAAAATTATTATAATATGAACTTGAATTATATTTTTTTATTTACTGACCCTTATATTAGGTATTCTAAAAATAATAAGTATTTTTATTTCAAAGAATTGCATATTTTTTGAATTTATTAAACTCTTATTAAGCGCCGCTCGCTATTACCTTAAAATTAATTATTGTTACAATTTTTTTTAAAAATATTATATAAGGAAATTGACATAAAAACTGTATCTAATATTCGATGAAAACCGCCAATGTTATTGTAAGATTTTCTATTTATGTAGTATTTTTAATTAGATTTTAATAACATTATTATTATTAAACTTAAACGACAATTTTATAATAAGCTACTATTACCAGCACTCGATTTTTGGCCTCAACGTTTTCCAGGTCCATTGATCGTTTTTGGAAAGTGTTCAATAAGGCTCTTTCCATTTTCACGTCCTATTTTAGAAATTGGAAATTAATTGGGTTGTAAACAGTAAATAATAAAATAATATTTTAAATTGTTAGCAAAAATAAAAAACATGTCTGTTTGTAATAACAAAATGTGTTTTATTAATAAGGCGCAAACCAGCATTCCATAAGGGTTTAACTTTGTAATGTATTTAATTCACTTAAATAATACAATAATCTTGCAACAAGACTTGGACAATATTTTTGAAGTATATACAATAGTTTTATAAGCTGTTATTAAAATCACTATTGTGAATTATTTATTTAGAGTTTTATTTAGTTTTCAGTATAAAGGGGCCTCTTGTTGCACGCTGTGCTCAATAAATTGTTTGTTAACATGCCTAAGTGAGAGCCAAATTTTGGAAAATATTATACTTACTCGTTCTACGATCGTTCGGGCTAGTTCATCTTCCAAGTTTTGTATCCGACCGGCTGCTTTGGCCAAGTGGTGTTCGCAAATAGCCTGAACGGCTACCACTTGGGCTTTAGCTTTGCGGTTAGATTTCAGCTCCGCGATTTCCTCTTCTTTGGCGATATCTAATACAGATCAAGAAGAACAAATTTATTTTGTGTATCAATTCTACAAAAGCAATGTACTTACCGTCCCTGACCAGTTTACCAATGCCACTTTGTAGTTTAATTGCAAGTACATTGTGGTCGTTCATGATCGATTGGCATTCGGTGGTCTTTGAGACGATGCTAGATAGATGGCCTTTGACGGCAGACAGTTCATGTTGGGTATAACTGATTTCTTCTAAGAGCTCTGCGTTTTCTTTTTGAAGCTGGTCACGTTCTTGAAACAGAAAAAAAATTGTTTAAAATTAAATTTTTGTATTTTTTTATATTTACTATTTTCGTGTTTGCCATTGTCATTCGCCATCTCTGGCCAATCTATCTCCTTTCTCGCCGAGTTCGGTCCATTTCCGGTCAACTGAAAATTGTAAAAAAAACCATTGTAATTTTTAAAGCTAAATGTCTGATACTACACCTAAAAATTTGGAAATACCTAGATTTTTGGAACTAAAGGAGTGATTTTTTTTCAATTTAAAAGCCCAAAAAAGTACCTTGGATGTACACATTTATGTTTGAAATCGGTATACGGTTGCCTTTGAACAAAATATTTACCCTTCACGTGTCTGTATAAGTGATCTAGCAATTGGTTTGCTATGCTACATTTACAAATGAATATATTTTACCGATCCGCTCGTGGCCTGATCCTCAGCTCCGTTGAAGGTGGACATATTTAATGAACAGTACAAATGTATTAATATTTAAACAATTAATATAGTAGTTAAATAATTATAACGAGACTAATAGAAAAATATGGTTTGTTATAAAATAAACGAGAAGCTTAGTGTTGACAACCACGCTGGTAACAACACAACAGATAAGTTCGAACTAACAAATTGTTTATTATATTTATTGATGTGTGCGCTGGACAGTAATACAAGTATAAATGAATTTGATTTTGGATTTTTGGGAAAATTTTCAATTATGTTATAGCCCCATTTTTAATCTACTTTAAGTTCTTAAGAAATTTGAAAAAAGACAAGCTTTAATTTATAAACGATTTTCAATAAATCTGATAGAAAACTTAGTCATAATACATAGTAAATGTATCATCACTGTATATTATATTTGTTGAGCACTTGTGCCCGTTTTGTAAATAAAATAAAAACAAAAACAATATTTAAACGAAAATCACCCTTAATTAGATAATTTGAGTTTAAAGAGATAAGTACAAATTTCTATACTGAACGTTATACTTGAAAAAAGAGAAAAATAGATTAATAATCTTTTAACGTCGTTTATTACTTTTAGTTTGGCGACATTGTTTTTCCTCGTTTTATTAGCGGTTGATATTGCAAAAATCAGCTATGAAACTTATATTGTAAAATGTCTTAACCGAATTATATAAGTTACGTTGTATTTACAAGTTAATGTTACTTATAACAACCAAGTACAATCCCTAACGGGTGGATTAGAAACAAGTTAAATTATTGTTATGAATCAATCATCGTTGATTTGATTTTAAATTCTCTTCGTCATATCTATGCTAATACTTAAACGTTATTAAGCGAAGAACTTTACTTTTAAACACTTTCTTACCGATAATTGATTTGATGATTATTGAGAGTGATATTAATACAAAATTGACCGAAGTGGGGCGATGGTATCTGGCAATTGTTATTTATCGTGTAAGGTCTAAAATAATATATTGTATTCTGTTCCGATAATAATTCTAACGAAAGTCTATAGGGGATCGTGTATTGATTAAAGAGCCGTTGCCGGCGGTTTAGACAAAGCAGTATAATATATTATGAAGCTATATCAACCGACGTTGGCTAATAGGTTTTACTTGTCCCGTATACCTATACAAAAGCTATTGTTTTTGTACCTCTGGGAACAATCATACACACTAAGGCAACAACTTGTATTGTATACAAACGTTATTATTATTGTATTATTTTTATAGTCGTCGGTTTCCTACGTTGTATATATCTCATATATTTTAAGATTTAGTTCTCGGTCATTACATTTGGCGATATTAGATTATAGTCTTGAGCTTGTATACTAGGCATATAGTCACTATACTCCCAAAGGGATTTCTCGAAATCGGTCAAAATAGGTTTCCGAAAATGAAATTATGGAAAATGAAAACTGTCAAAAAAACGCAATACAAAGTTCTCAAATGCAGTTTCCTCATAACGTCCAAACGTTTAAAACAATGTCTACAATAAAATGCTAATACATTTAAGTAATTAGTTTATTATGTACTTTAAATGACTTCATGTAATCATTAACTGTTGTCAGGTCACTTAAGCATGAGTTTGAAGTTCCCTAACACGTTGACTTGATAGGGTCAGGCGGGTTGATTATAAAAACATATGAAGACAATTGTACCTATGCAATTGATTTTAGCGACAATTTGTGTTGTGTTTTTAAAACACATTTTCATAATTTATCATAAATCATAATTGATCAATCCTTCCGAATACAATATAAAATTGCCACCTTAACATACGTATTACATGAACTTATTTATTGCTTGATCTAACAAAGACGAACAAGCTTGTCTGAAAAGATAAATAACAACAGTCACATGAACACTGTTTCTTTTTATGTAAAATGTGTCAAACTTTTTGAATATAATATTTTGTTTACTAGCTTTATATTGATATTTGTTCCCAAGCTTAACGCATTATAGTACAACTCTAACCGTCTATGAAACATTCATTTTGAATTATTGCGTTTTATATATGTATAGCTAACATTATAACATTTCAACAAAAAAACTAATAATAATAAAAACTTTACAACATGTGATTATATTCTGTTGGATTTATTGTTCTTTGCGGGGATTTATAAGTTATTATAATTAATTTTGTTAAATAATATCAAAACGCATTCATGTAAATCCTGAACGATTCACGCTCAAAAAAGTAGGGTGAGTAGATAAAGGTGGTAACTGACATTTTTTGTAAAATTGTTTTCAGCTTAAATAATTATAGAAATAGTTTAAATGAATGACAGTGTTAGGATATAAGATTACACAGTATAGTAAAATAGTATAACAGTTGAAAGTGGGTTGAGCTTAAAAATTTAAAAATGTTCTAAGCAATTTAATATATATTGACTAAAATGTTGGCTCTTGGACAGTTTTGAAGTTGTCAGTTAACCCCTTTATCCACTCACCCCTTCACTTGTGATCATTATTGCTTATTTATCACTCACAGTTTGTAACAGTGAAAATAAAAAACTGACACCCTATAAAAAAAAAATGCTTATTTATGTAAACTAGGCATAACAATTTACAAAGAATCTCTGTACCGTATAGCAACTTAAAAATCTGTCAAAGCCTTTACGGTCCACAGCAAAGGCCACGTGATATGTAAATAATGTTCTTTTCTCGTGGGTAATACACTTTTTGACCTTTTCCGGTTTAACATGAAAGCCGGAAGCCGATTTTACACGGTCGGACAATACAAAATAGATTCGTCAAACGTTTATGATTCTAAAACCGCCAAATCCATAAGTATTCGTAGGTTTTTCCCTTTAAATCGACCAAAGCGGTTTGCTCTTGAATCGTGTATTTTCCGAGTAGAAAAAAAAGAAAGCGAATTCAAATTTAAAAAACTCGTTTTCAGACAAAGTATAACGCACTATATATTACTAGGATTTGTGCGGATTTACACAATTTAAACGCAAACGAGACGGGCATGAGTTATTATTATTATTTTTTTTTTTTTACAAATTACCGGGCCGGTAGCACCTTGGATTTTCGGATTTATTATGGGGTTGACCAGTAAGTTTTGTTATCACTCTAAGTGTGTAAAGACACTCACCGTTAGCGGAATACCGCAAGCAGTGTTGGAAATAATACATATTATTATCTGATGGCGGATGGCAGCTATATCGGAACGGCCGCTTTCCTTTCATAATATCAAATATGGTGTGTATACCTATATATTTATATAAGTTTGCTGTGCACTGTAAATCGGGATTACCACTTTGCGCATCCCGCAGGATCCATTCATTCGATACATATTATATTATACAGAGGCGTCCTAAACAAATATTTTGAAAACATATTTCTACGAAAGCCCCCTTGGCCGCAATATTGAATCGAGGCCGGCTTTTAAAATATGTTTTGGAAACATTTTTACCGGATTTCCGGAAAATAACAGTATTGCTTGTGGTGCTGCAAGTAATATATTTTTAGACGACCCGAACGGAGAAGATCGCATTTTCCATTTATAACTTCCCGTGCTATACTTACTTTGTCCGGGTCCTTGTCTCTCAAGTCGCAGAAGTTTTCCCACTATGTGATATTATACAGAATAACACGCACGGTCTTGGCTAACGTTTAAAATGTTGGCTATTTTCTACAAACACTTGTTTTGTCGGACAAGTACATTGCTTAACCTAGCCGGGAAACTTATTAACCGGGAACAGCGTACCCGGTAGTTGAATTAAAATTAAACCGTATCTCTTCTGTTGTTGCATAATATTAAGTGAATTATGCACATTATCGGCAATCTTATTGAACACATTTAAATATATTATTATAGTTGTGGTAAATTAACGACAAACGGGCAAAATAATGTGAGAAGTTCACGCCGAGCTGTACATTAACATTCGGTAAGTGTTTAAATTCGTTGTAACCCTCGAGTGTTCAGCCGCTGTCCCTTGAACATCAAAAGCCATTACACTCAGCCACTGCGGGTCGATTGAATTTCTATAGTAGATTGTTTAGCGTTGCTCCCCCCTCCCCCTCCTGTATTTAACTTGAAACTAAATTATTGCCACTAAAATTTGCCATATACTATTACACTAGGTACAGTAATAATAATTATTATCATCATCATCGTCAAACGTATCGCGACACTGTAGTGACACAATGGCGTTAACATTCACACCTGCTTGTCTAATATACACGGGCTCTGTCAGGGGCTATTTGATGTAGGTATACTCTTGTATAATACGTGTAAACAAGTATACGGTCCAATTGACTCGTGCCAAACGTTATAACTCATACATATACATGTTTGTAACAAGTACACATACTCACATAGACACTATGTTTAAGTGTAAGACATTTTTTGCAAATTATCTATTTTAGAGCCTAAACAGTAATGCCAGGATTCTGGTTGTTATTTTTTTCTCAGGCGATGCAAATTGACATTACAGCTTGAATAATTTTTATTTTTACTTTCTGCGCTTGAAATAATTATTTTCAATACATATTTTGTACGTTTTATGTTGACTTGTACGAATCAGATAGTAATCATATGTTCGGCTAGAGTTTCGTTGAACACAATTCAATTGAAAAACAAATGTTTTTTAGAGACCGGGCTAGGGAATCCGACACCGGTCGTAATGGCCCAATAACGTTGTGTTATTATTGTTGTACGAATCCTGGCTGTCTGGAAAAATTGTATAGACATATTCAATATTTAAAACGAAGAGTGGCTTTGAACTCTTGCGGTTTGGCCTTTTGTCCTTTCGCCGGTCGTCCCGTTGCCCGGGAAACGGCTCCGATATAATAATACTGCCGTCACACTCTTTATATAATAATATAATTATTATTTGTGTTCGTGTCTGACCGGAGAGCGTACACCTACCTGTTGATCGACGAAAGCTTGTTTTTTTTTTAAATTATTATTTCTGTAGTACACTCGGCGGTAGATACGTGTAAACAAACGGCGGAACGAAAATAATAATCTAATATAGGCCAACTGGTACACTTAACGTGATGAATACGGAGAAAAGTAGAGGTAGGTACCTCGTCGGGTTTCAAACCGTGTTTCACTCGAAACCCCTTACACGGTAGTAACGAGTACAATGGCCGCGGAGTAATTCAATATTACCTGTGCACCTTTGGGCATGTAGCTAGCAGGTAAAGGCCTCGTACGATGCAAAGGAGAACCTCGAGCTTTTTGTAAAGTTTACCTACAGTACAGCCTACAGAGTATAATGATGATGATGACCTACAGAAATTCGCAAAATACGATAAATGTGATCAGTAGGTTCGCACGAGTGCACATTGTATACATATGCCATAAGCTATAATAATATTTGTCAATTAAAAAGTTATGTACACAAAAAAAAACCGATGGAAAAACGTTGCCGATAATTTTGTTGAAACGTTTGTTTTGTTGATAAAAATAAAATAAAAGGAAAAAATTAAAATTAAATTATTACCTTTTTGGAGGTGAACAGTACATTTGGAATATAGTGGAAGATATTGTTTTGAAAATGTCGCATTTACAGCCGGATTGGGTAGTTTTACTGTAAACCGGTATAGAACTATTGGAAACATATTGTATTTAATCATAATTCGACTAAACATTTTTTTTTATAAATATAATTAATAGTTTGGCCCTGTTTTATAGACACCCTGTCGTCCCGGCATCCTGTATTCTGATTTCTGACATTGTGCTGTCTCTAAAAAATATCATCAATCATATAATTTTGGTTTGTCCCTGTTTTGTGTTAAAGATTTTTGCGTTGTTCACAATTTATGATATTATTTTTGTTAATCTAGATAATGTAAACTATCGATAACTACCGTTGCAATTTGAATAAAACCAATTAAAAGTGTCTTGTGTGTTATTGTTTATCGTTTTGTGGAAAACAAACGTTATAATATATTGTTTGCACTATTAAGACAAAACTTGTAGCCTATTGCGCATTTTAATGCTATATATTATTCAATAATACATATTTTGTCATTTACAAATTGTATAACCTTATGCGGTCGAGAGGGGTTCGGTTAGGTCAAGTCCCGGAAGTTCTCGAATTGGTAAACTTACTGAAAGCCGAACCATTGTGCCGTTTAAACTTAAGAGTAGGACATTTTCTCCACATTGTAGGGTCGTCACGTGTTATACACAGTACTTTCGTTCAACTATATATATTTGATTCCATCGCACATAATCCACAGTGTCTTCCGAATACAGTAACAGGATACCCATTATTTCGGTGATGATAATTGTCTTTGGTGGTGGCAAAATAATATAATAATAGGCGAGCTGTACAATAAAGCCAATAACATATTATTATTATTATATTCGAGTACACCCGAATTCGAGGTCTCGGCAAACTGATATATAAATTGGAAAATGTATTTTCCATAAACAACGCACATCGATAGTAATCCGATGAGGGTCAATTCCTTAAGGGTGTTGTGTGCGAGGTACAGTAACATTAAACTTAAACGGGAAGTCTCTAATATTATTATGACCAACACCACGATAGTGTGCCATTCATAATATACATATATTCTGTGACTTGGGTCAAGAATGGCCAAATTTCACTTTACAAAGTTTGATAAATAATAGAGTTTTCATTTTGCATAAATTCTTGATAATTAGAACTTTTTAAATAATAAACTTGGTACTATAATTTTTGTTGGGCCGGATGTACTGGGTATTGTAATTAATTTTGACCGATATTTGAAATTGACCACAGGTTTATATTATAATGTATACACTGTATAGCTTGAAAATTGACCATACAAAACGGCCGGTGTAATAATATTATATAATTTAACGTTTACTGTGGCTACCGCGGCCAGAGGGACCGCTGCAACAGCTAATTCGGTCACTTTGCATTTCAATAATAAATTACTACAGTCCTGGCGTACTGGTCGGTAACCGGCCAACTCATCGATGATTCTAAATATTAGATATATTATAATATATACCGACCCCCGCCGAGTGCAGCCCACCGATTTTGGGGAAATTAAACGCTTTAGCTTGACCGTAATAGTAATAGAATATAATTGATTGTTGTTAACACATGAAGCGCGTGCACGGGAACAGATTAATTATTATTATATTGAAATCCGGGCACGATGAAAACATACGCTATCGAGTTCCCATAAAATAATCCAGCGCATACACAGGTTAGTGATTTGAATACAGAAATGTTGTTTTAACAAAAAAAAAAATATATATCGAAAACAAAAAATAGGTTATATCAAAATAGGTAATCAATATACCATATAATATTATAACCATATTTTAAAATGTACAGACTAAAATGGGATAACCTATAATTAGTGTATTTTATTTTCAACAATAATCGTCTCGTTTATTTACAATCGCCCCTCTACAGGTAAATCATATAATAATTAAAACAGGTATTGTACTAGTCTAACTGCTTGCGACAATAACCCCCAAAACTCTTTTAAGTATAGGTAGGTATATAATTTCTTATAATCTTTTCTCGAAATTCAACAACCAATTGGTTACATTTTTTAAAACTACTATTTATGGTGTAACAACACTGGTGGCATAGCGTGTACAGCTGTGGTAAGTCTATTTAATAAATAAGTCCAAAACAATGACGTTGGAAAGTTTATAACACACATAAATATTACGGTCTATTAAGAATACTATAGAATCTTAACTGGTGCCAATTATTGTATATTTATTGATCTTATACAAAAATAAGTTGTACTGTAGAAACTTAGCTTCGAAGCAGCTCAATTTGAATAATATCGTTTAAGCACAAACGGCTGACGAACTGGAGGAATATGATAATGTTATATATTAAAATAATTTATAATAAATATTTAGTAGCTATATTAAAGTAATTGAATATTTTCTAATATACTATAATGGTAGTATTTTTTTTTAGTATAAAGAAAATGTATAATATATATAAATTTATTAAAGTATAAACTAAAAGTTTGAAGCTAATTCAAATTTCGAATAAAAATATTATAACAGCGAGAGAGAAGGGATAAGTTAATTTACATTTTTAACTTAAAATATAAAAGCTCGCTTCCCCCTTTTATTTTATTTTTTTTGTTAAAAGTTTTGAAATTACACATACTATAACTACAATAATTTTATAATAAAAACCAATTCCCTTGATAAATTATTCGACATAAATTTTCAATAATTTTTTTTTAAACCTTTTATTTTTACAATTACTATGGTATCACACCAGAACGCTGAAAAATAGAACTCAGAAGGATATTGGATAACTTACTAGTTTGTATTTTTTCTTAAACGGTAAATTAAAAAAAAATAAACTAAATATATTAGTCTTTGTCTGAACTGCAGTGATCGGCACGATTGTGGCAAGTGATTGTTTTGCAATTATTTTGTTGGTTAATATTTAATTTTTTTTACATTTGTATCGTCGTCACTATATTATCATCGAAAACACATGGCAGACGTTGCTCAGATAATGCTGTACACGAGGCATTATACATATATATAGCTGTATACACAAGGCATATTATATTTTATTGGTCAGGTTATAAAAAATCCAAAACGATCTGCACTATACTCACCGGCGACGGAGCAGTTGTTATACTTGTTTTGAAAACCACTTTTACTCTTTACACGATCACATACTAAATTCACTATTATTCTATTAGATAATATTGGATAGTATATTCTACTACAATACTTATAATATCATTATGTATAGCCGTGAACTATGCGCAAAGGTTGCGTTTAACGGTTACGATTTTAGGTTTATGACATTGACATCATACCATGATATATAATATGATATAGATAGGATAACGGGTATAAGAATGTAAAAATGCTTTTTTTTTAACAAGTTTATTATTCAGTCAACGCATTTACGATGACTTGTCAACAATTTTTTAAGTATAAAAAAAAATAAACGAAAACTTAATAACTGAACATTATGGACTTATGTACATGGTATATAAGTCAATCTATCTAAAACATCTTATTTCTTGTACGAACCATGGTGTTTGCTGTAAGACGACAAGTCTCCGCTTCCTCCGTAACTTCCCAAGGATCCAATGCTCGAGCCGCCGTATGAGCTACCGCCGTAGGACGATCCGTATGAAGACGAAGCCAAAGAGGACGAGCCGTATCCAGCGCCGATGGCGGACGATTCGTAGCCGGCGCCGATGGCGGACGCACCGTAGCCAGCGCCGATGGCGGACGAGCCGTAGCCGGCGCCGATGGCGGACGCTCCGTATTCCGATCCGATGCCGGACAGACCGTAACCGGAACCGATGGCGGAACCGTATCCGATGGAAGACTCTCCGTAAGACGAACCGTAACTAATTGGAGCTGGAGCGGCAACAGCGATGGGCTGCGGTGCTGCGACAGCGATGGGCTGCGGTGCCGGGATGACGACCGGTGTGGCTACTGGTACGGGAATACGTCTCACTACTGGCACCGGGTATGGTCGGGATACGGGCACTGGAACGGTGCGCACTACCGGAACCGGGTAGGGAGCGGCGACCGGATGAGGGACGGGCCTGTCGACGGCGTAAGGTACTGGTCTCTCAACTGGCACCGGGTATGGGGCCGGAACGCGTACTGCGTATGGCCTGTCAACCGGGTAAGGGACTGGAGACGGCACTGGCACGGCTACGTTCCTTTGTACTGGTACCGGGTACGGTGCAGACACCGGTTGGGCGTGACGGTTGACGATGTACACTTCCCTGGAAACCGGGACGATGGGTCCGGTGGTCGGAGCTGGAGCGGGTGCGGCAATGGCGGCCGGTGCAGCGTACGAAGCGGAAGACAATCCCAATCCAGAACCGTAAGCCAATCCTGAACTGTATCCCAGTCCGGATCTCAAACCGGAGCCGTATCCCAGTCCGGAGCTCAAACCGGAGCCGTATCCCAGTCCGGAGCTCAAACCGGAGCCGTATCCCAATCCGGAGCCAAGACCGGAGCTGTATCCCAATCCGGAGCTAAGACCTGAGCTGTATCCCAATCCGGAGCTAAGACCGGAGCTGTATCCCAATCCAGAGCTTAGGCCGGAGCTGTATCCCAAACCGGACGACAAACCCAAGCTTGAGGCACCGTAGCTAGAACTGCCCAAACCTGAACCATAACTGTAACCGGCCGATCCAAATCCCGAATCGTATTCACCGATGCTCCTCTTGCCTGCTTTTTGGGTTTTCAAGGTTTTGCTGTCGGTATCGGCCCCGACGAGGGCTACGACGGCCAAAGCGACTAGGGCAGTTGCCTAAAAAACATTAAAAAAAAACGATAATTCGATTAAAATATTACAATCAAACGATGGAAAAAAAATCAAAACGACTAAACATTTTTGTACTTACGAATTTCATGATGATCTTTGGATGGTTCACGATCGAATGGTGACAATCAAGAACACGGGTCGGCTATATATACCGAAATTGAATTAAACGGCAATATAGGGTGGGTGCAGGCGAATATGGAAGACGGGAATCCAGTCGGTTACCGACACCGGTGCGCAAAACGAGTGTGGTGTATTGTGTCATCGTCAGAGTTAAGGTGACAAAATCTGGAAATTCAATTTTACATTCGCCACTTACCGTCTTCAGGTCACGCAACTCGATCACAGGCGTTGGTATTATATAATAAATATTGTATTAATGCAATCGAGATGTTTGCTTATTGAGTACAATAAGAATAATATTGTAAGAATCGACAGACAAACTACTTAGTGATTTTGTGTGATTACACACGGATGATTTGCATGTGCATGTCTGCGTTTTTCACGTCTACAGTAAATCAATAAAATTGTATTGTCGTTGTTAAATAAACCGCCAAAAATATTAAAGCCATTTTATCGAAAGTAGTCTACAGCGCCTTAGATTTTAAAGTGAAACTTATAATATGCGTTGTCTTATATTTTCTGAGAATGTTTTTTCAATAAAAATGACAGCCGTCAAGCATATTCCAAAAAATAATAATAAGTTTGAAAACTGCACGTGGCGACAGTCTAAAGTTGTTTTTCGATTGGTAATAACGGAACTTTAAACTCCCTTAAGGCTTTAACTGGATTTAAGTTTGATTATATGCGAGACTTTTTAAAGAAATTGAATTGTATGAAAACAAGCCATACGCTTATATGAATCAATAATACGCCCAAAGGTTAATCTTATCTCAAACAACCAATATATCCACAGCATTCTATCAAACATTAAACTTAAGTTATTGTTTTTACTTTTTACTATAAAATTTTCTAAAAAAACCGAAAAATCGTTTAAAATTTTATTTTTCAACAAGAATTTAATTACTTCTTAAAAAAAAATTTAGGTCAGTTTAACCTTGTCCAGCTTAAAAAAGTTGTCAAACAGGTATTAATAGATTGGATTTTTTTATCGGTGCATTTGTTGTTTTTGAAAGATTTCTTTGTACAAGAAACAGACTATTTCTCAAAACTCAGAATCCTCGTCGTTAACCTTTTTTTTAATAGTCTTAAAAAAATACTAAGTTTGAATAATTAATACTTTTTAAAGGAAATCTTAATTAAAAAAAAAGAGACAGGAAGCTTAATAAAAAAAGTAGACATTGTGTTTTGCTAGAATTCATAGAACCAACTCCATAACAAGGGTGACATTTTATTTTTTAGTTTCAAAGGCTTAATAGAACATTTTTAATGTAATGTACTGATGACTATTTTACCGGTCATTAATATTTATTTTTTTTAATGGTTGATCATTGCCACCGGCGGTCCGTAAAATGTCTCATCATAAAAAAATTATCTTAAGTTCCCAATAAATTATAACGGCTTTCAGCTAAGTAAACATTTTGTTAGTATATGAACAAAAAATATTGATGATTTTATTTTTTTAAATGTTGTATAATATGCAAATATAGCTATAGGTAGTATTAAATAATTTTTAAACCTTACACCAGAATTTTAAAGTGGCACTTTCGCTCAATTACCGTTATTGTGTTTGTATGGGTTTTTAATATATACATTTTTTAAATATTTTGCCTTAAACCTGAAACACGTGTCATAAACTCATGTTTAATCTTTAAACTAACTAAGTCCTATTAAAGAACACTTGACTGCTTCTCTTTGACGAAAGAACGGTGTATGTTCTCTTTCTGATTTTAAATTATGTCACGTTTGTAAGAGTTTATCATATTTTGTTCGAAAAGGAAACAGAGTGAATCTTTTTGGTGCTTGCTGACTATACGATTACATTTGATATCTGATTGAATGACATGCTGTTTGCACATCAAAGACATCAGCCAAATGGATATTTACCTTTTTCAGTATTTTTCAGAGGTCTATAAACTTTTGCAACTTAAATGGGAACGTATAAATACTTATAGTAAATTAATTTATTGAAAGTAGAATAATTTGTTGAACATTTTGACTTGACGATAATCAGTTTTGGATAATCACCTACTTTTAAAGTTATTAATAATTGAAATTTAGGTCAAGTGCTGTTAAGTAACGCGCGCAGAAAAAAAATAACTCTACTCTCTACACTTCCTCCTGTTTTTTAATTTTAACTTTTACAAATTTTTACCTTTAGTAATTCTCCAAAACTGATTATTGACCAGTCAAAATTTTCAGTAAATTATTCTTAATTTAAAAAATTAATTAAATATATTATACGTTCCCATTTAAGTTAGAAAAGTTGATGGCGCTCTGAAAATAATTAAGGAAGATAAAAATTTGAATATTATTTTCTAATATTGTAGAAAATAAGTTAAGTAAAGTACGTCCAAAAAGAAAACTACAAAACTGCAATTATTTTAAGAAAAAATGGGCGTCTTATCCTAAATGAATCGCCCTGTATTACACAGATTCTCTTGAAGTCAACGTTGCAATCTGAATACGTTTTCAAAAAAAAAAAAAACTTAAAATTATTATTAATATATCTTGGGAAAGTTGAGATTTTTTTCAATTGGCTACAAGTCACGTGGACTTACCGGCGCATATCTATATATTATAATAATATATTATACAACAATAACAATGTAAACCGATTTCTGATGGAATTTCGGACTAGGTCGGACTTATTGAGAGTCACCGCGTAAGGGTAAAACAACCTAAGTCATAGACCGAGTATTACACACTTATTACCCACAGGATTATGCGGAAAAGCACTCGGCGCACCTTAAGCTGAAACAACAAGACATGTTGTTTGTTCGGGTCGAGTGTACATAGATGAATTTTCCGCGTTTTCAGCTGTGTAAGGGCCGTGTGAATTTATCGAGGCTAACCGGTGAGTGTGTACATAAACCACCAAAATGTATATATATATATAAATTATAATATCAGTGTCAATTACAAAATACATGTTTTTTTGGTATAGTTATCATTATTATGTACAGTTGTGCAACACCCTCGTTTGTCCCACGCACACACCGGCGGTCACTTCTTCATAGGCCATACATAACCATACAAGACACTGGTATACTATTACAATATTGTATATTATTGTTATATCATTGTAATGCAGAGACACTTTGCCGCGGTAGCATCGGCAAAGCCGTTTAAATGTCATCCGGTCTTGTTTTGGCGATGCGACCGCCGTTGGCCCAGTTTCTAAAATATTTCCAGAGGAGAGGAAAGTATTTGAAAAAGAATACCTGTATACACAAGAGGCGTCTTGGTAATAGTGGTTTAAGATAGTATCGAATTATACTATACTTTCTGTACTTATAATGCTGGATAATCTGACGAAATAATAAAAACTGTTATACAACCGACCGACGCAGGTGTTTTATTTTTCTTCTTCTTCTGTTGTTGTCTGTTTAAATTTTTATGGTTTTTTTTTTTTGGTGATTATTATATTTTATTTATTTGTACGCCTTAAAACGGTCGGCGCTTTTTAACGTTTGTGTATTATTATCTACATACGCTGATTTGCATATCGACCGAATGTTTAGCAATAATGCACGGCGTTAAATTTCACAATACTGCGTCCGTTAAAAACATAGTAATATATATATATATATATTATGTGTTTTGGTTTTGGACGAAAACGGCGATTATGATTTCAATTATTAAATGTCAAACCGTCTCACGTAATTGGGTTTATAGCAATAATAATAATAAATCACATACACATAATATTGTAGAATCGATTATGACGTAGGTATTTACCATATTGTATACTATAATTGCATGTTTTTACTTTCATTTCTCAAAATAACTTTGAAAAATAAAAAATTAACACATACATAGGGCTTCGCGTAAAAATTAAAATTAACCGTTTCAGTAGCATGCGATTAGTTACTAATATTTGCAACAGAACAAAAATTGTCCATTGCCAATAGTGAATTTTATTAACACAATATTCTTTTGTTAAATTATTTTATTCAAATTTAACACTAGACAATGTATTTTAAAGTTGTATAAGTACTTTATTACATAGTATGTAAATAATAATTGTTAACATTTTTTTTTTATTGATTGTTAAACTACCATCCCATAGTCGTTCTACTCAAATTTAAATACCTAAAATTGTTAAAACCTCTTTAATACATATACTTACTGAAAATAAAATAAACTCGTTTATATTATAATGACAATCATTTAAGATTAATATGAAAAACATACAAAATTGAATTTGATCTCTTGTGTATACTTAACCTAAATTCGCTTTTATATTGTATAGTTTGTTCTAAGTACTATACAGGCCCCTGACACTTTATATTCGCAGACATCCAGTTTAATTTAATACTGAAATGACAACTTTTTTACATTCTTCGAATCTCGCGTTTTGTACCTAACATTTAAAAAACGATAACGGTAAACATATAAACATTAACAGCTATAACTTACCATTTTCAAGTACTTTAGCCGTTCAGTTTTTGTCACTGTACAAAATTATTCCTATCGTCTACGACAGCGATAAAGTTTTTATTTTATTTTATTTACTTTTTTTTTAAGATTTTGGCACAGTGTAAAAAAATCCCGGACGGCAACTCCGGAGCTGGCTGGATTAAAATCATGGTTGTTTGCTCCGGGCCATCCATTAACGGCTTATTTGATACTTCCCGTTTTTCGACATTTTCCCGGATATTGGTTCTGGTAGCGTTTTTCTCGACGTGACACTCGAAACTAGTTCAATCGGTACTTAGCACTTAGCCGTTGCCATGGCGACAGGCGGGACCTAGAAAAGTGTTACTGTTTTTCGTTTATCCGAGCAATAATTAAGTATTCAGCCGACGTCATTAGCCCACCCAACCCTTGTTTAAAGGTTTTCGACGTTATTTATCTTTGTGTTTTTTTTGTTGTTGTATTTATCTTAGTTTCGCCCTACTTTTCGGCGGCCGTACCCTTTTCACTTTATCTATAACGACCACCTTATGGTAGGTACCACGAATAATCGCCTAACTAATACACCGCAAGTTTGTACATACCTTACCCATTCAGAGGGGCTGTTTAAGTATGCTATCCAAAAGTTGGCAAGGAGTTGGATGACTTATAACGATAATTTTATATATTT